ATTTTAATGGAACTGTAAATGCTGGACACCTGTGGAAATTCAGAAAAATCTGAAGGTATTTTCTTAATTGTAACCAACATTTTGGCAGTACAATAAAATCATGTGTCAAGTATTTTGGGGGAAAAATATTCGCTCTTTACCTTTGCATTTAGGAAGGAGCATTTTAATAATGTTTATTCTTTTTATTCTTGTATTTTAAAATAATTATCAAAATAACTACATTCAGCTCTCTTAACGATATTGGGTACTATATGGTTGGTGTAAGAGCTCCCCCTATAGGTTTTATTTTAAATATCTGCTTAGGAAAATAAAAAGGAAATTCCACTTCTTGTCAGTGCTTTGTAAACATCTTCATTTGACCAACATGACCTGATCTTTAAATGTAGGATTTTACAGAAAGAAAGCCGTCTATTTTACTAATGGTCAAAATGTGAGAATGTAATGTTATAGATTTATTTATTTTTACAAAAAATTATACTTTTAATAGCAGTGTGGTAAACTGCATAACGTAAGCTACTGTTATATAAAGGAACAAAACAGCGTTTTCACTTTTGTAACTACTTTAATACCTGTAGATATCAGAGCTCTCAATCTACAGAAGTAGGGCTCACACAGCAGTATGAATTTCTCATAAACTGAGTAGTGTTCACATCTTTCAATAAGGACTTCTGCCTTTTATGGCACCCTGATGAGTATGGTACTCATGTGACAACTACAGAAATTTCTAGTAAGGAAGAGACAGGATATTTGAAAGTATTTTATATACAACTATCAACATAATTTAGCAGAGAGAGCAAAAAGGAAAATCAGAGCCAAATTATCTGCTTGTTTTACCTAGATATCAGCAAGTGTTCCTAAGTCAAATAAGTAATCCTACAGACCTTGTGGTGGAACACGTCATTTTTGGTAGTAATAAGCTGCCTATCTATCTGTCTTTAATAAAGTTTTTAAGTCTTAAAAACAAAAAAAAATCTTTGTGGGAAGGAACGTGTTCTCTTAGTTCAGTGTGAAAATCAAAGCCTACTGTACTCTCGTGAAGATCAGCCAGGAGTTACACCTGACGGTCTTAAGCAATGTGGCAGCTTTGCATGGGCCTATAGACTTCAGCCTGCATGCAAAACATTTGCATAACACGTGCACCCATCTCACCGATCACCCTTCTTATGTATGCAGACATGTCTCTTGCTGCTTCACTGGCAAGTGAGGAGGCTTTCTCAGAGCCATGAAATTCCATAAATTCTGTCTTTGGTCCCTTCCTACATGGGCCGTTCTCTGCATTCTTAGGAAAGGCAGCAGCACTTCCCTGTCAGATGAAGTATTTCCAAGAAGCCACAACCTGTGTATCCAAATCCTTTGAAAATTACCAGTAACTCTTCATTTTACCTGAGTGGATAGGGAAAAGCAAGAAAATTTCTGTTCCACAGTGGATGTGGGAAGTGAGTACAATTCCTGTTCACAGTCCTGTGGCAGCTGTGCTTGGAAGCCGATGGTGAGGTGCTACTCTTTGTCTCAGGTGCAGGTGGTCAGTGCTGTGCTAGCTATCATATGCCCACCTGCACATAAGCTATTAAACAGCTCTGTTGAGAACACGATTTAGCACAGTACTGTATAAGATTCTGTTATATGGGATTACTCTTGAAAATCTTTACTGGTCTTAATAAAGAAATCAGCCAAACTAACTGAAGCAGCTGACTGTGGGGGATGAGAGGGGTGATATTATCAGTTTGCTTGAACTTCTCTTTGTAAATAAATTTTTTTAGTATATGTGCTGCCAAAGCGAGCACTTGTAAATAAATATTAATTCGGTATATAGCTAATTAGTATTAGTTAATAATAAACATATCATAACCAGCATTCTGAAAGTTATGTCTGTACCAGTCCCCCATTCAGCATTTCTCATGACATGACATTGAACATACAGAATTAGAAATATGGAGAATTGAAATTTATAGCACTTTAAAGAGAAATTTTAAGCCCTGTACACAGAATTCAGGGATTGTGAAAGAAATCTTTATATGCATTCACATCAGCATGAAAATGAGGCCTATATACATGCATAGGAGAAAATTGTTTGGTTGCAAGCTAAAGGAATTCTTGTGGTCATTATTGTAATTAGATACTAATTAAATAGTTTGAGACAATCAGTGAGGGTACTGGCCTGGAAATAATTCTCTTTGTGTAAAGTTTTCATAATTAAAAATATTTTTCTTGGGTGTCACTGCTGTTACTCTGGATTTGCAATTTAGAGAAACATTTTGCCTGCAGTCCAATTACAGATGCTCCATATTCTCGAGAAAACAAGAATGGGTCAGAACATGCATATATCATCAAAGTGTCTACGTCTTACTTTACTCTATTCATAAATGTACTTTGCAAGAAAAAGACATTAGATTTACAAGAGCAAAAAAATATGTATTATTGTGCTTTTGAATACTCTTCCAGCTCATTTGTAAATAGGAAGCCACTGAAAAATTTGAATTGGCTCATGAGCATCTTATATATAATTGCTGCTGCCTTAGTCTGCACAATTAAAAATTCTGTCACTAAGAGTAAAAAAGTTCTAAAAGTTTTCACCATTTTTGCTTCTTAGGAATTTGATAGTCATATGAGGCATGCAGATCCTGAAATCTTTTTGCCAGTGACAGCTAGAAAGGAACATTGCAAATTGTAAATAAACATTGCAAACTGAGTTCCTGTAATAGCCATGACTTCTAAAAGATCTGAGTATTTCTAACATTTTAAATAGTGCAGTGAAAAACAGGACAGCCATAATCCAATTTTATCTAAATCTGCTACAAGGAAATTATCAATGTAGTGATTACTCCTCTTAGTGATAGACTTGTGGTTAAATAATACTAGCTCTCACAAGAACTAGACAGATTCAGCGTGACTTGCATGAGATAGTGGAGTATAACTGCATCTCCCTTTCAGAAAGAGTACTCATCACTGAGGAGAAAAAGGTCATCATAACCATCCAAGGTGGCTATAATTTTTTGTAGGCTCCACTTTGCACAAGAACATGGAGGAATCACCTTCAGGTTGAATAGGCAAATCAATGGCTTCAGGACAGAAGAAACCCTGCTCTCAAAAAAATAGTTTGGGCATCGAGGAAACTCAGACAGAAACGGAATGTGCTTGTGTGTATATTTGAGGGGCTCCAGGACTTAGGTGTTACATGAAGTAAGCAATAAGTTTGATGACCAAAATTTTGGACCTGGATCTTGAGGATGGAAAACAAATGTGATTCTACACTCCTTACGTTTTTTGTAATCCCTGTATTGGTAAGGACAGCTCAAAGGAAATTACTGTATATGTGCTTATTGAGAAAAAGGCTGCAACAGTAAGTGATGGAAACAATTGGGTGGAGGGGGGAAACAGCTGTATCATTGTCTACTGCAATTCATGATACTGAACTTGGGAGTAATGTTCATTGAAAATTTAAGCATATTTGATACAAAAGTGTATAAAAAATCTTATCTGTAAGGTAAAAGGTAGGACAAATCAGGATAGTAAAAGCCTCCAACAGTCCACATATTATAATGTATTATAAATATATATTATGTTGATCATTTTGGCTGGACCCTGGATCTAGGTATAAATAATGATCTCTTATGTCAGAAAGAACCCGTTTCACTAGTGTAAATAAACATTGTCTGCTGTAGGTCTCAAAGCCTTTGGCCTAGATTGGTATTAAGAAATTATTTGACCATATCAGCCCAATCTAGTGTTGCTGCAAATAAATTATCAGATAAGTTCCTTTGGTTCCTGTTAGGAAATGCTCACATCTACTTTTATTTCATATATAGGGGAATCTTTTGAAGTGTAGGTTTAACCACAGGAAATGCAATCACTTTAAAGAATGTTTGCAATCTTTTTATTTTGAAAGCTTCCTTTATATTATTTGTAGGCTAGAATTCTGTAAGTGTGCTGAATTTTTTTTTTTATTTTTTAGCAGTAGTATTCAGAAGTACCTTTAGGTTCAGCATAGTTAGAAAAGTAGGTTCCTCTAGTTATTATAAAAGTTAGTTTTGAGGGGTGTATTGCCATTTAGCATCACTATGTAGGAAATGAGTAGTAAGAATGTCTGAAAATGAAATCTCTGAAATCCCAGTCAATCTTAACTGCTTACTGCCCTATTGAAGGTATCTTCACAATGAGCGTTGAAAACCTAATTATCAGGGATTACTGGCTAAATCACTTCATTAGCACTTACCAAAACAGTTCTACAGAATAGTTTATAATAAAGAGTGTTTGTACTCGTGTAGCATACCCAGCCTACAAAATTGATATCTAATGTCTGATTTTACAACCAGGCATGAGAATTGGTTCCTGGATCTGGGTAAATCATTTTCTTAGTTTCCTGAGCAATTAATTGGAGGGGTACAATTACTCTTGGTTTCTATTTTTGTTTTCAAGATTGTTACTACTTCTCTGAAAAAAAAGTCTTGTGCATCCCATTCTCCTCACAGTGCAGTATCACATAACTACTGATTTAAACATGGGGGGGAAACAAATTCAGGCAGAATATATAGAACTAAAACTGACTTGTTTCTGATGAGAGTGTCTTCAAAGTAGATTGATTATGCCTGATCCAGAATTTCTAATCTTGGCTGTTAAAGTGGCCCTGGTGTCTCTTGTGTCTGTGTCAAGACCAAGGGTAACTGAAACTGGATGGCAAAAGAATGCTTCAGTCTCACAGGAAATACTTATCCAAAGCTTTGAAAGAGGAGAAAATAGTCACTTATTTACCACTTTTCCGAAAATATGCAGAGGAGACAATAAGGACATGTAATCTTACTGAAGACAATCCAGCTTTAGCTGTGTTAAGCCTAGAGCTTTATAGATCTAAAGAATTGTTTGTAAATACAATTCAGTAGAAACCACTTAATAGTTTGTGAAGCAGATTCTGATGTGTTGCTTGCATCAGTAGGTAAGTGGATTTGATGACCCTTGCATACTTCTAGTCTCTTTCCTAACTAAATTATTCTCTTTTGCTGCAGCCCAGAAGATGGTGAAATTCATCCTGAAATCTGTAGGCTATACATCCAGTTGCAGTGCTGCTTAGAAATGTACACAACAGAAATGCTGAAGTCCATATGTCTGCTAGGATCACTGCAGTTTCATCGGAAAGGTATTGAATTGCACAAATATTCAGATGCTGATTTTGAAAAAAAACCCAATATTTTACAGCAATCTGGGTACTCATGAAAGACAAAGCACTGTTTTGGCTGGGGTAGAGTTAACTTTATCAACAGTAGCTAGCAAGGGACTGTGTTTTGGATTTGTGCTGGAAACAGGGTTGATAGCACAGAGGTGTTTTAGCTATTGCTGAACAGTGCTTGCTGTCAAGGCCTTTTCTGCCCCTCACTCAAACCCACCAGTGAGAAGGCTGGGGGTGCACAAGGTGTTGGGAGGGGACACAGCTGACCCCCACTGACCCAAGGGATATCCCAGATCATATGGCATTGTGCTCAACATATGAAGAGGGGGGAAAATGTAGAAATGGGAGGACATTCAAAGGATGGCATTTGTCTTCCCGAGTCATCCTTACACATGGTGTAGCCCTTCTTTCCTGGGGATGGCTGAACACCTGCCTGCCAATAGGAAGTGGTGAATGAATTCCTTATTTTGTTTTGGTTGCATGCACAGCAGAGTCTTCTGAGATATTAAACTGTCTGTATCTCAACCTACAAGTTCTCTCACTTTTACCCTTTCAGTAGACTCCCTATCCCACTAGGGGTGAGCAGTTGAGCAGCTCTGTGGGGCTTCGTTGCCAGCCAGTGTTAAACCACAACAAGCACCAAACTATAAAATTAACTATACCTATATATAGGTTTTCAGCTACTAAAAAAGGGCTCTTTTTCTGTTTATCATTATTCTTGCAGAAGCGTGTCTTATCAGGCATGTATCACTAATGTCCTTGTGGTTTAGAAGTCTGATTTTTTTTAAAAAAAGAGTAGTCCCTGAAGTTTTAGCTGTCATTAGTCAGACCAGTGGGCAAGCTTAGTAATTTTATTAGAGGTATTTGCTGGGTATAATATTTGAGGTCAAATGTTTGATAGAGCTGTATGGCATGGTTTTAGTACTAAACTGATTCCTTACTATCTCTGTTTATTTATCCAGCAATGCTATTTTATAGTTGTCTGAGTTTTGGCCAGGACAAGGTTAATTTTTTTGCAATAGCTGGGAGGCATCAGGACCTTAATGTTATTCAGTACCACCTCATGTCACTGCCAGGGGTAGGGGAAAGGGACTCTCAGGCTTATGTGGAGGAGAGCGTGGCTTCTGCTCAAAAAACGTAGCAGGGAGCAGGGAGTCATTCACTTCACTTGTCTTGGGGTTGGTGGTGAGCATTTTTGCATGTGAATCACCCTCTCTTTTTCATACTTTTCTTAATAGTATTGTTGCTGTTCCCGTCCATTTTCTTATCTCATTGCTGTTTCCAGTAAATTGTTCTTACTTCAGTCTGTGAACTTCACTTTTTGTGCCTTGGTTTCTAAACTCCATTCCACCTCATCAGGGAGGGGAAAGAGAAGGGGAAGAGAGAGAGAGCGGTGTGTGATTTGGCAGAGTCTCAGTGGGGTCACTGAACCACAACAATAACAGAAGACTGATAAGTGTCATTAAAAAGCTGCCCACTTTTATAGAAGTAGTTAGTAGATTTGGAACTGAAATCTACCTCACAGAGTATTTTTACACACAGAGGAGATGTCCTCACTTCAGTGAAAATGCATCTCTAATGATTTCATATTTGATTAGCCTCCTGAAAGGAAGATGTAAAAATGCTGATAATTTACTGAATAGTTTACTTAGTAACCTCATTGATCAGTGATGGCACACGCTGATTAGGACTGTATCTGTGCTGATTGTAACTACTCTTTCCCTAGATAATATCTCAGAAGAATATACTAGGTAAAGACAAGACAAAACTCTGTTATGAACTGTGAGAAAGGCCTTGTAATGAACCTTGTGAATTTCCTGTCACACAGAAAGGTCTTGTAGTGTATTTTTTTTGCATTGAGCCAGGGATATTTGGTATTTTTGTTATGGAAGAAAGAATGAGAGGTTTATAACTGCTTAACTGAGCTTCTCAGTTATTTATTTCAAGTCAAAATAAATCTATAGAACAAGAAGAGAGAGTTAACAGCTATTGTATAACAAGATGCCAGTAGCTTTCACAATGAATCATCATTTTTTAGGACAGATTTTACTACATTTCTTAGCGCTGGTTACAGTTGTCAAACCATCTTCTGTAACTGCTGAAAGAAAATAACTTGAAGTGACTTGAGTAACCCCAACATGTCTTGTCTCTCCCTTTTGCTTCTGGACAGAATCTACATTAATAACTTAAATTACACAACAAACTGTTAGAAGTCTAAAGTTGGATGAGTTGCAGTTTAGTTCCTATCTGGCAGTACTTTCCTCCACCTGCTATAGAGAAAGTCTTGGTAGCTATTCTGCCATTGCTAAACCGAGTGACTTTTGTCCTGTATCCATGTAAAGATAAACACATAACTTGGCTCCAAGCTTCTGGGACATCCTTTGAAAAAAAACTCATAACAGGCAAAAATTTTATGATGACAGGGATGCAAATAATTTAAATAGCCAACAGAATATTGCTCTTTTGTATTAAATACCTGGTATTTGCAACACCTAAAAGTATTGTAAAGACATCATGCAATAAGGGAAATTCCATTTCTGTATTAACTATTTTTTCACAGTGAAGGTAGCTGTATGCTAGACAGGCACCAAAAGGGGCTGTGAAATATCCATTCATGGAGTACTGTTAACTCAAATAAACCTGAACAGTCTGATGCAAGTTGACTCTGCTTTCAGTAAGGTGTTAGACTAGATGACTTTGCAACCTATTTATTCTGTGTTCTGATAAAACATAAAGTTTTCAAAGGAGTATAATGAGCCCATACCTTTGTTTAATTTCTTTACTTACAGAGAACGATACTGCAGTGTAGGCAAAGTGCATAAATTTATCTGTAGGGAGGAAAGAGACAATAATTTCACCATTATAAAATATATTGTGATATTGCTAGTATATAACTTTTTTAGTTTTTCATCATCTGAATGACCATATTAAAAAAATAAAATCTTGTGTATTAAGAGTACTACCCCTGTAGTCTTTGTTTAATCCATAAATGTGTATGTCTGATGTTCTTGCTGTATCTTGAAGAGCATTTCTGAAGATAATATTTTCTATTGGGATGTAATATTTTCTAGTCCTCTTACCTGTTGGACAAGTTGTTTGTTAGGTTTTTAAGTCTCTGATAAAATTTCACTAATTTATGTTCTTACTCAGGAGCCAGCAGAGGATCAAGTAGAATGACATGCAGACTGTTCTTGGCAACCTGTAGCTTATATATAATAATTATGGGTATTGATACCTTAATCAAAATTCATCAAACAAATTATAGAACTGATAAAGCTAAGGCAGTGGGTTGATGCTCTTTTCCCAAGAGAAGCTCAGCCAGTGCTCCCTACTAGGAAACAGATGCTCTTAATGAAACACAACACAACAATTTGAGGGCTGAGCTCTCTGTCTTTTCATCTGTTACAGCACAGATCTTCTCATCTCTCCTTATCTTTCTTTACTACTGAACAGATATTCCTTTATTTACTGTATAGTGTATATCAAGCTTCCTGTACAGAAATTTCTTGCATATTTACAATGCAAGATTAACTTACTGCTGTCATAGAACCTTTACTAGAAAAATCAGATATTCTGTTATTTCTTTGAAATTTAACTGTCACAGTGGGGCCAAAAGACATTAATATTTGCAGCTGAGTTATACAGTAAGTAAACTGAGGTAAGTGCTCTTTAAGAATTATTTTTTTAAAAATACATACGCCACAAAAGCCCAGTTTTGAAAATATACTATCATTCAACAGTTCAACATTCAGAAAGTTTGCAAGGGGCACAAGGAATCATGCCCAAATATCCTTAATTCAAGATTTTTGTAGTTACTAAGCTTTTGGTTACCTGATCATATATTTTGTTACTCCTTTCCACAATCCCAAGAGTCCTGGCTAACTAATACACGTATTCTACTTGAACACTAATTGTTTAGTATAATACATTGTATTTATTGCACACGGTTCTCTTCTAAAGGAAGAATCTTTCTGTTCCTCAGACCTTGCTCAGTAACTCACACACTAATAGGTGTATCTTCAGAACTGCATAAATATCAATTTCTCCCCATTGTAAAGAGACATTAAGCTAAAAAATGCTAATTTAGAATCTGAGAATTAGAATTTAATGGAAAATAAGATACTCTGAAGAAACTTAGGTACCTCTCTGAAGCATTTACAAAATTCAGTTGTCATTCATTTAAATGTTGTATGTGTACCTATTGACAATTTTAATTAAATAAACAAATTCTGCTGTAGCTATCAAGGTCTTAGAAATTGTTGGCCTACTTTCTGTCCACGGAAGCTGCTGGATGTGATTATCATTTTTCAAAATTAACATGGAGGTTGTCAAGGTTGCACATTGAGAAAATCAAGGACTGCCTCAGAGTTCGTAAGTGCACTTCAGCATACATTGTGTACACAGCCACAAATACTTTGGGGTCAAAGGTTTTCATTGCATTTTTAATATGCAAGCATAACAGATAAAAAATCTTTACTACTTCATATATCCACAACAGTAATTCCTTTCATTGTTAGGAACTGTAAAACATTATTATAATAATGGAATAACGTGTCATTGTGGAAGTGCACACTACCAAAGTTTAATGTCTGTACATGTTTAAATAGAAACCAGGAATTTCTTAGGATCATCTACAGATCTAGTTGACTTGTTGGGTTATACAATTGCTTATATCAGAAAATATTTTTTAAACCCTAGATTGTATATTACGATATTGTATATTGTATGTTAGCTAGCTGTGCAGCATTTGAGCACTTTAATATTGAAGAGAGCAAGCCCATATAACAAATCAAAGGCAAGATGGGACAATTAAAACGAACTGGAGGTGTTTTCCAGAGTTCAAAACATGCTGTAAAAATAAAGCTACATTGTCAAAGAAGTACAAGGTGAAACTGGTAGCTGTTTATTCTGAGTTTTAAAAGAATAAGTCTCTGCTCATATATAGTTACAGCAATATATTATTCTTATGGTCCATAACCTGTTCAACCTGCTATATTGTGTGTATTCTTTAATAATAAGTCAGTGAGACAGTCTCCAAGTTCCACAGGTCCCAAGTGTAAGTCAAGAATTAAGTACCATCAGACTATTAACTATATTTGTCAAATACTTTTTTTACCTCCTACACAATTCTTTCCTATTCCCCTTTTAGGTTCTCCTGTTCATGTACTTAAGCTGTGATTTATAGCTTGCACATTTTTCCTTAGTTGCTAAGTTAGAAACCTGATGCAAATGCTGCCTTCATTTTTAGAGAGGGATTCTTTCAACTTTGTTAAATGCAGATATTCCCTTCAAAGATCTTTCTAGTTCCTCTGCAGTGAAATCCAACTAGCTCCAAGGGACATATAATAAGGGTTTTTTTCTTTTAATTTTTTTCATTCATCACAGTTTCTGTGCAAATTAGGTGATGACTAAGAGTTGGTGGATAGGGTAGCATGACAGAGATCACCACAGAATCAGTAAGAGGCACAACAAGTAAGACACATAAAACACTGTGGTCACAGGTTATATATGAAACCTTGCTGAACTGATAATTTTCTGGTCTTCTATTTACCCTCACTCAAGTTTGATCCTCAGCATTATTTAATTGAATTAATTTAATTTCATACCAAAGTATTTTCTGCTTCTTAAAGTGAAGGGGGAAAAAAAAGAGATTAACTACTGGTAAGAAGAGGAAGAATACATCATTGCAACTGAAATTATTGAAAAATCTTTCCACTGACTAAGTTGAAAGTCAGATTTAGCGTTTACATCCATTCATAAGTGTGTATTACAAAAGATATCCTTACCTACTACTGGAGGGATGAGAAGATTAAAGAGCTTTTGTTTCTCTGTAGGCTGTGACATGTTGTAGGAATGTTAAGCACGAGTCATACATTATTCAAGAAAAGCCTTTATTATTTGCTGACTATTTAATTGTTTTCAAGTGACTGAGTATATGATCTGAAATTCAAGAAAGACTTGAATTGCTCACAATACAACAGAATTACTGGTAAAGAGCTATTCTCAGTGGAAAAGAGATCTGTGCGGTTCATTCTGCTAAATCTGCAAGAGCTTGCCTTTGTGCTAACAAAAAGAACGTTTCAGTCTCAGTGCTTCTATTCTCAAATTGTGAAAAAGAATCTTTACTATTATTTCATCTAGTGCTTTCATCTGGTGTTATTGTTTCTTTTGAAACACCTTTCACATCCCTGAAGGATGCATCTATAGACAGGGTTATTCTTGACAGTATGTTGCCAAAGGTCGGGTCAGAGTTCCACCATTGCACTTCAAAATAATGGGACAATTCATTAATATCCAGTTTCAGCCTTGTGATATTGGTGGCAAATTAGATGCTTTACATGAAACCTCTTTTATGAAAAAGCAAAAAGTGAGATATTGGTAACTTTATATTTTGTTATGGGCTTACTGTAATGGGAAAAAATAACAAATAATGAAGCTTATATGAATGAACACTGAAAACTGTACAATAAGAACTACCTTAAAATAACAATAGAAGCTTCAGTTAAGAACAAGAAAATTTAAAGTTATACCTACAGGGTGATACAGAGAAAAACATCTAATCTGGGAAGTAGGCTTAGTCTGCTGTTCCACAAGCAACTGAGTCAGCATTCAGCATTGTAGCTTGTAACCAACAGGAAGGTCTTGATCCCTTCCTCTCTGTCTCCCCTCCCTTACAGTGCCTTTACTGCTTACTCCCACTATTTCTGTCCGTATGATCTTCCTCTGGCACTTGCTCTTGAACATGTAAGGTTCTTGACTGATCTGACTTAAACCACTTCATCAGAAAACTTCACATTTTATTTTTCATTTGGGTAATCTTCTACCATTTGATGGGCTAAAGTGGATCACAGAAGGACTTGGCAACGCCCAAGTTAGCAGGGGATGCCAAAGTAAGCAGCAAAGAAAGGACACAGAATATCGTTCTTTTATGGAGGGTAAACTTATTATATCAGTTCATGCACCCTCTTAGATTCGGTTAGATAATTTAGTTGGAAGGAAAGCTGGGAAAAGGGCTTCCTACTGGCTTTAAAGACTAATGAAAACATGAAGCAAGTGTCTTCTGCAGCATAAGTAACATCTAGTGTTACTTTCTGAGATTGTTTACTCCATTTCCTGAGAGAACTCAGGGGAAAAAATTTGACTTTTTAATAACTTGTCTGGGATGCACTGCAATGTGAATTTTTTCCTTTAAATGTACTTGATGCCAGAACTCTACTTGCCACTACAGAAGAGGAACACTATCAGACAGTCCAGAAGAGATTTGCAAGGATACCAAAATATTCCACCAATGCTTAACTCTCTTGCATACTCTGCTATCACAATCCATACCCTTTATCCCATCGTCTCCCTGACAAAAGCCCTGGAAGATCTGTCATGAAGCCCCCATTCAATTTCAGCACTGAATTTCATTTTCATACAATGAGCATGAATTAGGTAAGCATCAGCATGGAAACTCAGAATACAATGCATTTGAGCTGTGAGTGGTGGCAGCTGTGTAGTCATTTTAAATGACAAAGTACAAAATTTCACATATTTGTCTTTTGTTTTCCCTCGGTATTGCTGTAGTACTAGGAGACATGGATTGCAGTGTTCTTTAGTGTCAACGTTTCTGAAGTTGTTTCCAGAATGTGTGTTGTAGTTTCCTTACTTACTTTGTTCTGTTTTGTCCTCTGGCTCCTAGTTTGTGTTGCATGTGAGCCACTGGAGTTTAACTGAACCCCTTGAAATCGGTAAGAGTAACATATGGCAGCATTCTGGTGTGGTCTGTTCTCTTTCTGAACAGTTCTTGCATTCAGTACTCTTTCTCTCCATTTTTATTGTGCAAAATCAACCTCAAGGCATCAATGATATAATCTTAGTATCCATTTTAATCAATAAATAATGGAGATACATGTTTGTTTAAATATTTTAAAGGAAAAGAACCTTGTGGCCCACCCAAGATTCTAGATATTAAAGTGGAAGAGAGTTCCGAAGTACCTATTTTAGAAGACATGTCATCACCAACAGATGTTCAACAGCATCTATGGCAGGTTTCCACAGATATTGAAAACACTGAAAGGTATGTGTGGCACTTCATTCCTGAACAAAATAGAATTCCATCTAGGGTTTATTTAGGCTTTTTTAATTTGACAGCCAGTGTTGCTACTATAGAAAGTATAAGTAAATCAAATAACCTCTTAACATTTCTGTTACATTTAACATAATTCAGAGCAACTTCTAAAAGAAAGGCTAAGACGATTGACATGCTTTATTAGGCTAATTGCCAGAAGGTAACTGTCAAAAAAAGAGGGCAAAATTATATTGCTGGTGGGCCAGGCTCTCTAAACGAAGCAGCTTTTGCCTCATCTTGAGTGGTTTCTGATTTTGTACCTGAAATCTGCTGGACTCCTGTTCTGCGTTCCTAATTCAAAAGCACTGAATCTAGTTCATTTCTGCCCATAATGTTGAGTGTGAAAGCCTTAGGAGGGGAGAGGAACATAATCCGTAGGTTACCCTCTTAACTATGCAGTTGAAAAACAAAAATGAGACCCTTTAGTAGAGAGTAACCTTGATGGCCAACATTTCTTTGCAAAAATTCCTATTTCGAGGGCTTTGCATATTAATCCGATGAGAGATTTGAATGGTTATCATGCTTATTTACATAAAACGAAGTTCTTTTCTACTGAGAACATAACTTGGAGAATAGAACTGAGCGATTTTTTACTAGTCACATGGCTTCATTTCTAAGAACTATTTTATATGTAGATGAATGAAGCAAGACCACATTGATTTTAAATCCTGAAAGCATTAAGACATTGCAAGCTTGCACACAAAATTGCTAGTCTGCTGTCTACCAGTAAAACAAGAACCTTTTTGAAATTTCTGGCCACATTCAAAACATATGTAGGTTGCTTTGGAGATCATATTTTGTTATCATATTTTGTTATCATATTTTCATCATATTTTCATCATCTGCCTTTCAGAAAAACTAATGCCCGAGTCCTCCTAAGACAGGTGGGAGTGACAGCCCTGTTTTTTAAATTGTCATTTAATGTGCAGGGGACTGAAGTATCATGGATTAGCTACATGTATTATAATTTTCTTCTAAACAGTGAAACACGTTCATGGCATAAGCTACAAAATGCTGACAAGGAGTACAAAGTTGACATTAGTACCAGCTTGTGATAATTTTATGGAATATTGTGTATTTTGTCACTGGGATCACATCATGCCCACCAAGTCATTTAATAACTCAAGTGTCAGAATAGATCATAAATTTGAATCAGAAGCAACTAGTTTAGTATCAGGGTAGTGTGAAAGTGCTCCCTTATTAATCTATTGCCCTTTCTTTTGGTATACATCTTCTGATATATGTTTGGAAACCAAATGCTTGCCCAGTTGATTGTTGTATTTCATCATCGTGGCTAGGCTTCACGAACGAAGATTTAGGAAGGCTCTATCCACGTTTGTTATAAGATTGTTGTATTTATTGCTCCATTATTTCAGCATATAAAGCTATACTGTGAGCCACTCCCCATTCAGTCTTCAACTGCCGTTCTATTGTCTCTCTTTTAACTGTTGTATCCACAGAGATATGAGAGAAATGAAAAACCTTTTAAGCAAACTCAGGGAGACTATGCCTTTACCACTGAAAAATCAAGGTAGGTTTTGAATTTTCTTCATGTAAGGAAAATTACGATAATTAAAGGTTTTGACTTCTGTTAAATACAAAAAAATCTAGGAGTTTTTCATAGAAATAACAAGAAGAAAAATCTAGGCAAAGTCTCTTCCCTACTGATTCATTGGAGCCCAAATTTAGTATGTGGTCTTTGGCCTCTCGAGTTTCACATGCGTATTCTGGAATTTTATAGAAACAGCATCTATACATAAAATGATAGAAATTTCCTGGTGACACGAAGGCAGAAGCACAACTAATTCCCTGTGTAAGGAGTTCTTCTTTTTCAAAGGTAATGAAGGTCTAAAGGGATCCTACTGAGTGATGGCATTTGCCTCACCCCTGCAAGGCTTGTAGGTTCTGTGACATGCCACTGACTCTATGCAGAAAAGCTACTTGCTTTGAGATTGTTAACAGCTGCTTTTCCCAGTAGCCAGCTCTAAGGATCTCCAGCCTATGCATGTATTTAACGATGGGCCTTCATGTTGTTGTCCAGCAGTGTTAAATACTTCACATCTGCAGGAACTCTCTTTGTTCGTGAGAATGACATTAAAAAGATAATGGTTTCCCTTTTTGATTTCTTCTTGATAAATGGGTATTTCTTAAAGGCCATGTAGTTTTGCACAGTGGCAGCCAATGACGTATGCCTAATGTGTCCCAGATCTTGTCCCAAGAATGCAACAGTCTTGCATTCATCGTAATACAGTAATAGATGAATATGAAATAATTGGGTTCATTATACAAATAGGAGTTCATGGCAGGATGGCTTGATGGAAAACCATGTGAAAGGAAAAATGCAATTGCTTATGATACATGATAGGTATTTACCACTGTAGAGACTGGAAAAGTGACAAAAAGTCTATGCCTATCCTAGAAGAAAGGAGTGTGCTGGAAATAAGGAAAAGACAAATTGAGGGGATGTAAAGCATAGAGAACCTCAGTTCAGAACAGAGATAAAGGCGCACAGAATTCTTCTCTGCTGCCTGGTGTCCAGACTGCCCCTCAACACTGATCAGAATATCACTGACCACCTGTGTAGCAGGATAGGAAACATCCTAGAGTTTAAAAGCTCTGAGTCATGCTCCAGAATCAGGTAATCCTAAATGGTGTTTTTGCAGCTCTCACAGTCTCCAACTGTGATGATAGTTTACAGATGACCTCTGAGAATGGATGCCTCAGGAATGGACAGTCATACTCATTATTCATACAGTACTTAAAATTTTTGAAATAATCCAAGACCTGTAATTAATGAAAGCTAGATAACAGTACAAGTAAATAGAAAAAAACAACATTATAGATGATTAATATGGTCTGGACTGCAATTTTGATATTTATATGAATCACAACTATTGATTATGAGATGAATGAATGCCATTGAATGTGTTGATCTTTGCAAATGACCAATCCTGCTCTCAGTAAATGAGTATTTTGCTGTTGGTTTCGATGACAGCCAGAATGGAGTTAAGATGGCAAGCTCACAAAAGTTTTGCATAATGTTACTGACTGCTCACAGACCAGGTTTTTATGTATGAAATTCTCTGAAGTGACAGCAGGAAAATTACTGTTGTAGTTTGTAAGACTGAGTCACAATATTAAATGATCTCTTAAATGGAAATTCTCCCAGATATGCACAAATGGCCACTCAATAGTGGAGATTTTTATGTTTAAATTAAGCCAGAATTTTACCTTAGGATTGACATTTCCAAACTTGCATGTCTGCAAGATCTCAAGCTACTTATACATTATTAATCCATGCAGGAATATTGTGGCTCAGGTATCCCAGCAGTGGAGGTGTGATTTCATTTAGGTTTCATCACTGAACTGGTGTTCTTCTTGCCAAAATGTCTGTTGTATTTTTATTATGGAGATCCCGTTAATTAGCATTGTAAGACTTAAATACAAATATTGGATTATTATTATTTGCTCTATGCCTTGAACTATGGGACCTATTACATCATGGAAAGGGTTCTCAAGGATTGGAATAGGCTGCCTATAGAGGTGGTGAAGTCACCATCCCTAGAGGTGAAATGACTGTGCGTGGCACTTAGGGCTAATTGACAAGGTGGTGATTGATCAAAGGTTGGGCTCGATCTCAGAGGACTTTTCCAACCTAAATGATTCTGTGATTCTGAGATATGTAGGTGCTGTTAGGACACATAAATGATATAATCTCTTTTGTGCATTTACATGCTTGTGTTATAATGTGGGACTTTTCATCACAGATGATAGCAGCCTCCTAAACTTGACTCCATATCCATTGGTAAGAAGACGGAAGCGAAGATTCTTTGGATTGTGTTGTCTTGTCTCAAGTTAGAAGATTAAGCACAGAAGCACCAAGAAGATCATGACTTTAATTAAACCACTGTTATTTGACCACTGAAAAGATGAACGTTGCTCCTCTTGATTATAAAGTACATTTTCTACACTACACTATTCATTTTGCTCTTCTGCTCCCTCCTCATCTTCAAATAAGGGATTTCACAGTGTAAAATTATGGTGATCAAAAAACAGCTGTGGAATTAGCATATTTAAAACTTTTTAAAGTATGTTTTGCATGCTTACTTTCAATTGCTCAAAGAAGACACATGAATTATGGTTCATAGATAATTTTAAGAGGTTTTTTTAATTGTTTGAATTGCTGCTAAAAGTTTGTGCATAGTACAGTATTCTTAGTATCATAATGAAATATTTGGTCATACTCTTAACAGTCTTTAAGCATAGAAAACTATTTAACAGCAAAAGTATTAAAGTTCTAAAACATTTAAACCATATTGTAACAGAATTTGCCAAAATCCAGTTGCTTTTTGTGCTCACATTTATATTTAGTCTTCCAATTATCTCAATTTAAAAGCTTCATAGAAAAGTATCTTAATTTATGATACACAAATCATAAATGAAAAATAGTTAGGACTGTAAATACAGAGAAATCATAATAACTGCATACTGTACAATGCATAGAAGCAACAGATTTCCTTTTAAGTCAATAGTATATCTACAAGCATTTGGAAAAAATAAATAATTTATTAAAAGGAGGTATTAAAATAAACAACATAAAACACAACACCAACCCATTTTGTTTCCAATAGAATTCAATATGCATGGTGTCTGCATATCACTAAGTCTAAAACTTATAAGGCATGCCAGAATCATCTGAGACTGTAAGATATTAAACAATTTACATTGTTAATAAAGTTTTTTATTTAATTAAATATTGTTTTGTTTCTAGTTGTATTGCTGGACTATGTTTTGCTAATTTTGCTGTCAGAGTACTACACAAAGTTTTGATAATATTTCCATTTCAAGAAGTATGTTTAGAAAGATAAAAAATATGGAGCATATATAAATACTAAAATGACAGCTAGTAGAAGCAGTAGATATGAATAGGTAGACTCAATGTACTGATATTTCAAGATGATAGGCAAGACACCAGAAATAAACTTGTGCTAGACTGCAACACTATGAAACCCATAGCAATCTGTCATTACTGTGCACGTCAGCATACCCTTGTAGTCAATAATAGTGACTCATAGCCCTTTATTCCACCATGACCCAGCATGTCCAAAGAACCAAAACAAAGGTTTAGTGCTGGTAAGGAGGTTGTTGTGTCCTTGCCACAGGAAACACCCATACAGTTAAATTCATTGTCAGTTTTTTGGTAGGATATTAGTACACCTCCTAAAGCAGTTTGTTAGGGATAGCTGTTCACTGAACTGTATATGGCAACTAAAAAGTTTGATCTGACCCATTTTTCTACCAAGCTTTTCTCCTGCTGTTTGCTGAGAAAGGGTAGAAAAGCCCACACTGTCAGAAATATTAACATACTGTTTATAGCAAAGACCAAAAATTCAGATCTAATTACCAGGAACAGAAGGCAGGACTTTTTCTTCCAGAAGAGCCACACCACTCCCAGATTAGACATTCATGTAACTGAGCTTTCAGCATTTCTCTGGAAGGATATTTTTCTTGTCAGTCAGATAAAGCAGAGTCTTTTAGTTTTTTCCAGGTTGGACTGGTCTGTTCACCTTTCACTTCCCCTGAGAGAAAATACATTTTTGAATAATCAGGCCAAGAAATAAATACTTTAAATGCAATGAGGACAAATAAATTTAAAATGCCCTTATGGAACTTGTGAGTTTCCAAAATTAATTCCATCTGAATTTAGCATGGCTAAATTCTTTAAATAGCACAGAAACAGGTAACTGCAATGTGTTAGAAGATTTCAGGTCCTGAACTATTCTTAAGCATACATATTCTTAAGCACCTAAACTGGGGAGATCCCTATGCACTCACGAAACTGTGTGCTTGTGAGAACAAATGCATTTTTAAGAAGAATGGAATTAAAATCCATAACACAGTATGTTTTCAAAGTTAATTCTTTGAAGTCTTCTCCACATTTCTCATTAACATTGTCCTCATTAATCAGAGCTGTTTTCTGTAATAGGCAGCACTGACATGTTTTCGTTAGGAGTCTCAAACCAAGATATGCTCCATGACTCCATCCCCACAGGTACACTAGGTTTTGCAACTGTTAAAACTTTGGAAAAACAACTCCTGATGTCTAATGGATATTAAAAATATTGTCTAGGAATACAATCAGTAGTTACAATTAACCAATTAACTTTTGTTCATAAGTGAAAAAGACATTAATGCCAAAAAAAGGGGTATGAATGCAAGACTGAATATGCAGCGATACCATGAGAGAGGAAGGGAGAAAGAAACTTACACAAGACTTAGAAGTCTTGCAATATTGGTACAAAGAGAGAAATACCCATAGGTGGTCAGCGTGATGCTTTTTTTCAACAATTAATTTGAAAGGAAGATGGGCAGAGTAAGCAGTAACATGTCTAGCTGAGTACGTGCTCACACATCATCACACAGAATTTAACATAACAAATTATGTGACAGCTTATATCTCTGTATTTTAACCATGCCTGTTGGAATGGAATATACATTAATTAGACAAATGTATAAACATTTTAATTCATTTTACAAATCTTGACATCAGTCATATCACAATGAGTTGCACAACTTGAGCAGATTCTGTGATGGATAGACTTGCATTGCACTGTATTGAAGTGTACAGTAATATGTGCATCCTGGTACCTTTTGTTATTCTGGAAAATTCAGCAGTGTCTTTTCTTCCTGAATTAAAGACTATTAAAATTTCAGTCTTTACTCATTTTGAAGCCTTTCTATACTTCTAAGCAATTTAGCAGCTTATCTCAAGCCTTTCGTCTTTATTATACCTTCTACTAATCCTAATGGACACATGCTGTAATTCCCAAGCTTTATGGCCACTTAAGGAACACTGGTGATCAAGGGTGAATGGAATGTCCTCAGTTACCTTTTAACAGATAGTGGTGTGAACCAAGGCCTGGTAAGTATCTGAACTGGTGTTAAGGGATAAGTTGGTTTAGTTAGGAATGCAGAGCACTAAAATTCAAAAGGCAACAAACTCTTTTTAAGCCGCAGAACATCATGTCGGTAAAAGAAAGTTAATGATATTTTTACAATTTAGTTTAATGAAACAGGGCAATGTAGGATCAAAGTTTAAAAGTTCCCACAATAAAATGATATGCAAATCACTTAAGAGATGATTTACAACCATTCTTTTATTTGTTTATTTTCCAAGTATTACCAAAAAAAAAAAAAGACAACTTCACATTGGTGACCTGAATGCATGGAAACAAGCAATTTAGGGAGAATACAGAGGAAAGCAGTAATTGCTTTCTAAAGGTTTGAACAGATTAGTTGAAAATGTTATAGGTTAAAGGCACCATAATTCTTTTGCAGGGTAGGAAACAAGAAGCAAAAATTCCCGTACGTACCAAATATGACAAGTTCCACTAAGTCTTTTTTTACTAAAACCCTGTGCAGCTCCAGGTTTTCAGATATTTCATGTCATAAAAAATACCAGTCTAAGAAGTCAAATATATATGTTCAATGTAAAGTCTAAATTTTTCAGAGTAGAAGCAAAATACAAGCATACAGAAGTAGAGAGCAAATACATATTGCAGGCTGCATGCTAACCCAATATGAAAAATTAGCATGCAAAATCTGCATCTTTACTTATACAATACGTAGAAGATTGTCCCTGTGACCTGTTAATTGTTCATCCCATAGCAGGCTTATTTTGGATGAGATACAATATAGAGCCATTCATTTTTCAATATGAGGTAAGCAGATGAGTATAAATTAAAGGACTTTGACAAGTTTGAAGAGCTGTTTAGACTGTGGCAATGGACTACTGTAAGAGATGTTTACTACATAGCCCAAAATTTATTGTCTTTGAAGCAGGTATAGAGACTCCACAGAGATCAAGAGAGAAGATCAGTGGGAATACAGTAAACTAGACAAAAATATAAAGATATGAGAAATATAATAGAAAACACAACAAGCTTAATGGAACATTTTTGAGAGCACTGTGGTGGGTTGACCTTGGCTGCCCACCAAAGTTGATATATCGCTCTCCTCCTTAACTGGACAAGGAGAGAAAAGGATGATGAAAGGCTCGTGGGCTGAGGACACTGAGATCACTCAACAATTTGGTTATCATCATGGGCAAAACCAAGTTGACTCAGGAAAATTAAGTTATTGCCAATTAACAGTGGAGTAGGATAAGAAGAAATAAGAACAGGTCTAAACCCACCTTTCCCTCACCCCTCCCTTTTCCCCAGGCTCAACTTCACTCTGGTTTCTCTAGCTTTTTCCCCCAAGCTGCACAGGGGGATGGAGAATGGAGGTTGTGGTCAGTTCATCAGGCATTCGTTGTCTGTGCCATCCCTTCCTCCTCACACTCCTTCCCTGCTCCAACGTGGGATCTTCCCATGGGACACAGTCCTCCATGAAATTCTCTTACACGAGTCTTTCCCACAGCCTGCAGTTCTTCATGAAATGCTCCAGCTTGGGCTCCTCTCTCCATGGGGCCACAAGTTCTAACAGGAGCCTGCTCCAGCACCATCTTTTCACAGGGTCACAGCATCCTTTGGGCACATCCACCTGCTCTAACACAGGATCCTCCATGATCTGCAGGCGGACCTCTACTCCACTGTGGACCTCCGTGGACCGTAGGGGGGCAGCTGCCTCACCATGGGACACCTTCTCCCCCTCCTTCTTCATTGACCTTGCTGTCTGCAATTTGTTACTTACATATTCTCAGTCCTCTCTCCTTGATGCCGTTGTACAGCAGGCTTCACTCTTTCTTAAATATATTATCCCAGAGGTCCTACCACCATCACTGATGCTCTTGGCCTTGGCCAGTGGAGCGTCCATCTTGGAGCCAGCTGGAACTGGTGTTGTCCAACACAGGGGTAACTTCTGGCATCTTCTCACAGAATCCATCCCTGTAACCCCCCTGCTACCAAAACCCTTCCAAGTACACCTAATAAAGCACCCACATCATGCTTTTTTAGACCCTAGGTCTAATGCATCAATATTCAAACAAGAAAAATTAAACTTGCAGTAAGGCACCAGCTTCTTTACACACGAACAAGTATCATGAATGTAAAAGGGTGAAGGTCTTGAATTTTCAGAATTAAAAGTTTTGGTCTGTGACACCTCAATTTGCCTAAGACCCACTAAATTTTATTTTGGATCTGGTCTAGACATCTGAGAATGGACCAAATGGTTTATGTTCGATTTGGGACTCCTAGTCACTTCTAAATTAGATATAATTTGCAAAGCAATGGCCAGAGTGACATCCCCTGTAAGCAGTGCTCAGCTGATTATCCAAATCCCAGTCAAGGTTGATCAAGATATTTAAAAAAAAAGCCTCCAGAAGATAGCCTCTTAACCCATACTGAGCTTACTTGGGAAACGTGGCTGCAAAAGATTTGAGTTCTTTGACCAGTCCCAAGCAGAAGTATAATATCAGTCTTTCCTGGTCATGACAGACTGTGAAGCAGCACATTGAATTTTACTAAGTATTTGATTAACTGACTAGGAGAGACAGTTTAACTGTCTATTAATATTGCAGTAAGTACTGGATGCCAGAGTATGCTGTTGATGTATGATTTCATTACAAACAGAATACCACCCAAATGAATATCTCAGTATAGCTAAATTAAAAACAAAACAAAAAAGAGCAACATAATTTTACTCTCTTAGTCCTAAAGCTTCCCATATTTCCAAACTGGAAATATTTTTCCAGTATTCCTGTGAAAAGAGGGACTACCTAAAGGTCGCAGCTAGGTGTTTGTAGCACCTCACCATTTAATATGCCCTCTCAATCCAAGTGACTGTTTTTGAGTCCTGAAAACCTCTGAAGATAGAAACTCTTCAGCTTTCCTGAACAACCTGCCCTAGTGCTGTACTACTTTCCTAGTGAAGAAATGTCAAATATAACAGATTTCTAAGATCGTGTCATTTATCAAGAGCAAAATCTAATGTTAAGTCTGCAATAGTATTTTTCCATCAGTGTTTGCACAAAAAAAATACCAAAAAACAGATGAATTCTCTTCTTTCAGTGCAAATGGATGGTGATATCTAGCCACAGCACAAAAACCTCACCCAAACCATAGTTGTTAATACCTGATACTATAATCCTTATTGCTGGTTTCCCATCTTTCATTTCTGTATTACAATTTAAGCATTTCTGTGATTGTGACTTAACCTTCATACAACTTCCAACAAAAGACAAAAGTATTGGAGAATTAAGGGATATTTCTGTTGCTACCAACTAATAGTTTTTTGGTAATTGCTGAGGAAGGCAATTCCCTGCTGATTTCCTGCAGATGAAATATTTTAACACCTATTAAAAAACCTGCAGAAGTCATCTCTACCAAAGATTTTTACAAAATTTTGGTTCCTGGTGGAAGAGGAATTGTGACATTTGATGGAAATGCTGGTTGATGTGGCAAAGAGTAGTCATCTGCCATTTGAGTATTTCTGTTCCAAAACCCCAGGATTTTCTATAAGGATTTTCTGTTCTAGCACTCTTTTCTTCTAATCAAAACTTAGAAAATCTCCATTGGAAAACAGAAAAAACATAAGACCCAACTTCTATCCCATTTCCATCCCAGAAATAACTGTAAAATGATGCATTAAATACCGATTGGTCTTCTGTCAGTGTAAAGGTGAGATTTCTTATTATGTAAGAGGTATCCTATCCATTGTCCAGCTTCATGAACAAGAAGCAACAGAAGCTAATGAAAGATGTATTTCTGCTCACTTAGTCCCGAGTTACTTCAGTGAGGAGATCTGTAGCATTATTTTGGGAATTAGTTCTAGAATCTTGAAGGCACTGACTGACAGGCAGCAAAACTTACCCTTTACCAGCAGAACCTTCCTTTTCTGCTTCAAAAAAACTGAGCTTGGCTAAATGCAAGTGAGCAGGAGATATCTTCTATGGATCATGGTGTGGCAAGAGTTCTAACACTGACTTTAAATTGTTCCACAGCTGTTCCTAGCATATGCATAATCTGCTGTTCAGATCTAGCCTCGTATTGCCAGTCTTACACATTTTCCATTTTCCTGTCTGAACTTGTCTGGCTTTGAGCTATCAGCCTTCTCCTCAGTAGCACTTTGAGTCTTCACCTTATTTTGTATCATCTGTAAATTTTCTTGGTGTGATATTTATATTTTGTCCCTTCTTTTTAAATGTACTTAAGTACCAGTGGTAATGCAAATTCTGGTGTCCAAGAGAGCATGTTTTTATTTGTAACCTGTTGCTGTCTCATGCAAGCATATCTTTGAGCCATTACATGTACTAAGCTCTTTCTTTCATAAGTTTTATTTCTTGCTCTTCTAAGACTGCAGTTCTTTGATGTAAAGAAAGTTTCTGCCAATTTCCAGCCTAAATCTTCTCCTGGACAACTAGTACCATATACAATGTGTTTCTTAAAGCTCAACTTTATTCTTTGTTGAAATTCTCTGATGGTCAAAATTCTGCAAGGATATTTTACAAACTATTACACTTGGTTAAAGCCTCATGAATACTTATATACAATACAGATAAATAAGGAGTAATCATTCTTGTTCATAGTATACTTTATCAGTAGGTCAAATATTTAGCTTACACAGAAAACTGTAAATAAGTCACATCTTAAGTACTATGCTGACATTTAAATTAACTCCACTAAATAGCCTGTTTCAGATGTCTTTATTGCTTATAGAAGATAGGTGACAGGGAATGGCACTTCTTGTTTGTACTGGCATCACCCTTATACTTTAAGAGCTTTGGTGCTTGCTGAGTAGCTGACATACAATCAACATCTTGGGCCTGTACAACAGCAGCAGTTATGTCAGGGTTTACCCTTGAAAGTGCAATTCATGCAAACTCAAGCTAATAAGAATTGACAGGAATGAAGAAATAGCTAAAGTTTTAATATTAGAAATCTTGTTTTGAGATATGTATGTGTGTGTGTGTGTGTGCGCACGCGCGCGCTGGTCTGTGTGTCAAAGATGACATGGCCATAATTGTGAAAGAACAAAACCCAAGCAGAAAGGACTTAGAAAAACTAATGGCTTTTGTTTGCTTGTTTGTTTTCAGCTTGCTTACAGTGATCCTGCCAAAAGAACATGTACATGTATTTCACAGTCTAAGACTAGATCAATTTTTGAAGATAATTTTGAAGGCTCAATCTTTTTTAGCTCCTCATTGCCCGTTCCTCCCTTCTCAGGACCTGTTTCATATTTGCACTTACTGATTAATGGATGAAAGCAGAAAGTGCTATGTAAAACATACATTTATTTAAAGGATAACAGAAAATCTCACTTGAATTTCCAGATTAGATTTAACCATTCTGACATTAAGCATATTTAAGTCTGTATCTTTCTACACATAAGCTTGCAAAATGAAGTTTACCATATCCTACTGTAAGGGATTACAAACACAATTACTCATAACTGAACTAAGAATAAGAGTGAAGAACTAGTTAAACTTACATGGTTTAGTACTAATAAACTTGAAATTTTTTCCTAAATGGTCCATCTAATAATTTGAAGCACTGATGTGTGCAAATAGATTTCTCAAAAATATACATATATCCCCTTTTAAAACAGCACTGCAAAGCATAAATAAATTTGATATGAAAGGAAAATCACCTTCTCTGCAGAAGTGAACACAAAAATAGACCAGCATCTTAGTCACTACTTGAACTGTCTGAACTGTCAGAAGATGAAGTTTTCTCCTTTCGTCTCTTCTTTTTCTCCTTTTTATGATGCTTTTCTTTCTTAGATTTATGCTTTTTCCCCTTTTCCCTTTCTTTTTTATGTGATTTTTGTTTTTTTGACTTTGGCCCCTCCTCTTCAACTGAACTTGATGCGGAAGATCTAATGAAAAAAATAATACAGATTAATATTTAATAAAGAAGAAAAATGCCACAATAATTTTTTTTAAAATGTCACTATTTATATGTTACAAATAAAATTTGGTGTAGAGTTTGCACAGTAGCATCCACTGAAAAGCTTATGATATCTCAGTCTGCATGTTCAACTTCAATGATGACTTTCCTAATAAGACTTTTGTATGTTTATAATACAGATTAAAAAACTATGGAATAGGCAAGTTGTATGTTTTTTCAGTCTTCAAGAAGAAAAAGACTAGAAGTACAGATCAACAGAAAATAAAGTATGACAGTAAGATAGAGCTTCCAGCTTTTAAAATACCACATGATCAATAACAATGTGACAGTAATGCCTTCAAAAAAATCTTAATTTATTCCTCCAATGCAAAAATCTAAGAGAAACTTGGTATGACAAATTTGGATGCTCTTGCAGCTGGTAGTATTGGTCTCTAACCAATGATGAGTGATTATACACATAAAATAGTCATGAAGTAATCATGAATACTCAGAAGGGCAGTTTCGTGCTATTGTTTACATGATTAACTATTAGTTACTTGCATGAAAACCGACAGCCAAACTGACTCTTTTCTATTCTTCTTTTTTATAAGTGTAAATACTGTCTTCAAAAGTGGAAGTTAGAGCTACACGATGTAAATAAAGAAGGAAAAAAATGTCAGTACAACCGGTATTAAATCCTGTTTCTTTATTTCTGAAAAATATCTTATTCTGGTCTCCAAATACATTACACATTTTATAGCTCCCAGGGCAGTTCCTGGGATATTGTCTTATCAACAGTCCTAATGATTAACCATTACTTTCATCTTAAAAGACAAACCAATAAATCATCAGGACAGAACTCATTTTTTTAGGCTTCTACACTGACAGGTGCACTAAAACTCAACAGATGCCAAGTAAAACTACAGAAGTTTTCCTTTTGATAATTGCATGTTACTCAGAGCATGTGTGCGCCTACATGTGTGTCTACATGTGAATGTGTGCACGCAAAGAATCTTAGGGTCTCTGAAGTGCAGGAAGCCTTCTCCAGTCAGAGAGAACACTGCTTTCTCCAATCTGCAGACCTCCAGCTTACTATAGGTTTCAAAACTTCCATGATCCTAACTACACAGCTAAAAGCCCATGACTTTACAACTAATCCAAGAACAAACAAGTTCTCACTGGAAAAGAGGAAACTTTTCAAGCCAAAGATGTACTTGCAAATCAAGCTGCATAAAAAGAACCAATATCTTCTGAGAGACAACCCAAGTATCAGAAATATTTCTGAAGTTGTGTTTTGAAAAGAAAACAGCTGTGTGATACGAGTTACCTTTTCCTTAGTCTTTTTGTCTTCTCTTTGTTTTTTCTTTTTTGTTTCTTTTTTTCTTCCTCCTCATTTAAATCTATGGGTAAAAAGTTACATTTTAAAAAGCACTTGTCTGAATTTAGATCAGAATTAAAAGAGTGGCTTTAATAGCAATGTAAAGTTACTACAAAATTCCTGTGAAAAGGTTATTTTTTCCTTCCTCCAAATTCTGGTTTAGTGCAACAATTTCAGAAACATTTTGCAGAGTGGCAAGATTTTTATACACAGCTTACATTGTAATGTCCTTGATCTAAATACTAAGAAGGAAGGAAGGCCTGTAAAACTTAGCAAAAAGTTGTAACTTTTCCTATACGTTGACATCAGCTTCAGGTTTTCATATCTGGTTTTCTGTATTTTAACAGTCTTAACACTTACCATATTATTGCCTAAGTCTGAAAGCAGGCCTTTTAACTAGAACATACCAAAAAAAAGGATATTCCCTTAAGATATTCAGGAATGTAACCTGAATTACATTCACACATCTTCCTTTCACACTTCACAAATAGCAATGCTATAAATAAGATAAATGAATTAATTTTCCATGCACCATCTACAAAGGCTGACAGAAGCATTACCCCTCATCTGGTTGTGTTTGTTTCCTGCCCCAGTGCTGTACAGTACTGCAGAGTAACTTCACATTTCACTTATAAAATATATATTTATCACACTGGAGATGAAATTTCTGATCTTAGATTTCTCTATACCAGTTCAAAAAGTATTTTTTAATTCTCCAAATGCAAATTCACTAAATAAATATAAATTACAATGTCAGTTAACAGGAAAATACTGTCTTTATAATTTATTCTTAGAACAGTCAATTTTGAGCATTTCATCTTATTCTTATCATCTAAAAAGTCTGCACGCTACTAGTGCAGTGATACATTTGCTACCACAAATACAAATTACTGGTCTGTATGTTCTGGAGCAAAATTTGAAAGAATTCAATATGAATTAAAAAAGCAAATTATTTTTGGAGCAATTAAAAAACATGAACAAGAATGGGCCAACAAACACTCAGTATTTTTTTAAGAAAATAGTGCAAAAATCTTGAGATGAGGCCACTTGAAAATGGCAAAATTCTGCCTAGATTATTGACAGTTAGAGATACATGTCTCCTTAGCAGTCACAGTTTGAGAAAGAAAATATAATAAATATAGATATCAGAAGATCAGGTAAACAGCTGCTTTCCCTGCGGGTATCCATCTTCAATCAGTTAGGGTCAAAAAAACCCCAATCTTTACATTCAGAAATACATAAGTGGGAACTAGTTTTTTCAAATAGACTTGTCCCAAGAAAGGACCATTGCAGTACCAATTCAGCACTCTTGTCAAGCAGACTACCCGTTTCTTTTGAAGTGTACAGCAAACTACGAGGCTCTATCTTTCCCTTCTCCCTAAATAGCATCTTCAGTAGGAACTAAATGTCAAGTCTGGAATGAGAGAGCAACAGAACAAAACATGATGTTTTGGCAGAGAAGAACATTCATTCATTTAAAACATGCTATGGTGGAGTAACCTCTCCTTACTTAGGGGAACTACTTCTTTCAAGTCCAAATTCAAATGAACTCAAGTACCTGATAAATAGCCCATCTATTCTCTCTGACAAACAATTCATACTCACACCTTCCAAACATAGAAGAGTAATTCTCCAAATATAAATGTTTAAATTCCAATTTACTAGCTGTTTCAGTCAAAATCCTACTCAGAAGCTGGAGAGAAATTGTCATATTTGTCATTAGTTATAAGATGTTTAAACTACATGCCATAATCAAAAGATTAACTCAGAACATCCATATCATTTTCTCCTAAGCAGCTTCTTAGTAACAGTCTGATAATCTTTTGCATTCAGGAGCCCTTTTTGAGATGTTCCAAATGGGTACATTAGTAATTTCCTAAGACAGGAATTAATACTAATTAAAAAAGTGGGTGTATCACATCTCTAAGTCTGAACATAGGAAGTACAAGACCTACTATTAAATCACAAGCTAAAAGAACTAATAGTAGTTATCAAAAAGGATAAAATGAGAGTTCCTACACTTCGGAAGACCATTATTCAATGTATTCTATGACTGAAAAGAAAAAAAAACACAAAAAACATCTTACTCTTTTTTTCACGCATGGCTTGCAATCTCTGTAGTTCTTCTTCCTCACTGTCTTCACTGCTAGTGCTGCTAACATCTAAAACAATATCTCTTTGAGGATCTACTCGGAGGAAGTTTCGACATTCAAATGTCAAATGACCAGCTGGACAAAACAAATATAAAGAAAGAAAAATTACGGTTTAGCAAAAAATATCAGAAACTAAAGAACATCCATTTTTGTATTACTTCGTTTTGAGAACTGAAAAAAGGGTAGGCTGGAATCTGTGAATAAGGCAGGAGAGGGCTTACTTTGAAAAAATCTCCAAGAATTTTGACAGGTTGTGCAATGCTCTTCCATTTAACAGTGCTTTACGACCTCTCTCCTATTTCTGTTAAAGATTTTGTTCAACTTTTATTTTTCTATTTTTAATTGTCTTGGATACTTTCTAAGAAACTACCTAAAAGCATCAAGTGAAATATTTAAAAAACTAAAGCAAGTGTTATACTGCTCTTTTTAACTCCATCTAGTGAAATCACAGAATCCTATTTGCTTATGAGCTATAATCTTTACAACCAGTACTTACTACTGACTAAGTTACTACTTGACTAGTATTTTTAATTTTCTTAGTTACATCTTGATAATCATGACCAGTTAGAAACCTTGTGCTGAACAAGCCTAATGGAATAATAAAGTGAAATAAAACAAATTGAAAAAATGGTTTGGGAGACGCATGAATTCAAGTAGTAATTGAAATAAACTCACGTTCTTCACATCAAAACACCTATATCTTGAAGACAGAGCTTTTAGGAACACAAACAGGGATTGTTTGATTTGACTACAGGTTTCCCTCTCTTCCAGAAAGTTTCTGATACTTGCTGCATGTAGAAACAGAGCACTAAATCTGTATTGATATCCATGGTCCTTTTGAAGAAGACATACACAAAACAATTCAGTGACAAATTTTCTTGCAAAGTCTGAAGTGGAAGAACGAAACAAGACTTTTTCCTGTCACCCTATGTAACGCTCATAAAAAAGCTCTAACAGCTTAGATCACTGTGTTAAAAGTTCTATATAACTCACTGCAAAACAGTGTCTACTCCTCCGTTGTTCTAAATATAAGAATTAGTGATCAACAAATTAAAATCTTCACTAAGACCTCTCTCCATTCATCAGGAAAGTAGCCACAGACATACCTGTATGATCAGTATATAATGCAAAGCATGAGCTAAATGCTAACTGCACAACTTGTAAATAATAAAAGTAACTGCCTCTTGAAATACACAATGCTCAAGGAAATATGTTTTCTTGACTTAAAAGATCACACAGATTTTAAATTATTTTTTCTTGTAACATGGATTGGCCTTAATGTGAGCTGAAGTGCCTGCCTGTTTGCAGTGAGATTCAGAAGCACAAATGCTAATCTCAGTATGTATCAAAGACGATGCTTTCAATTCAAACTTTCTCAAGTAATTTACTACTGCAAATGTAGTATATATGAATATTATGGCATAATTTTTTTTCTGAGAAACTCAAGAGTTTTCAAAAGCAGCAACAGGTGTGAGAAGCCAGAGAATGAAAATGAAATAAATAAATTTTAAAAATGTGGTATTTAAAACTGACAAAGGCAGTTCCAAAATCATAAATTGAACAAAACACTGTAACTTCATATTGTTTATTGTTGACTTACGGTAACCACACTTTTTGCATCCTGCTCTGATGTTATCCTTATTTCCGCCTGAAAGAGAAAATTTCACCAATGAGGTCTTGCTAAACAGAACCCTCAAGTTTCTTTCAAATCTGGCTTGATAATGTCAATACGCAGACAGAAGTGATCACTCAGAGTATTAAGTACATATGAAAGTACATATCTCTTAAGAAAAACTTAAAGAAAGGCAAAACAGTGCATTTCTATGGTCACTTTCCTGTGTAGTATAAACCACTCACATAACTTATTGCCAAATCCTAATTTGATTTATCATGACCTTTCCATTATAATTTTAGAAATTATTCCACCTCTCTGAAAGCTTATGCATTTGTTTAGTTACAGTATGAGCACAGTAATAATAGTTACCTGACATTCCAGTAATCTGTAACTGCACACTAAGTGTACCTAAAAATTCTAGCAGTGTATGGATATTGACAGACATTCACTGGGAGCTCTGAAGTGACTTATATTTTAATTACAGGAATTGACTTTAAACGGCAATTAAAAAACAAAGCAAACAAAAAAATCAGTCCAGAAAAGACAGAAAAAAAAAAGTCAACAAACTGTTAAATGATTCTGAATCCAGGAAACATGGCACCAAATACAAAGAATTAAGAGGTGCAAGAAAGCAAATGTATAATAAAGTGAAGAGAGTAACAAAAAAGTCTGTAGCTGCTAAGCAGGAAGAAGGACCAGAATAATGCAAATTTTAGGTATAGAAAGTGTGGAATTTTCTCAGGTGAGACCACAGTTAAGTTAAACAGAAATAGTAGAACATGATTCAGAAAAGAGAAACACCAGAGACTTTTCCCCTTTCAAATAGATCAGTATGATTTTTAAACATCTGAGCCTATTCATAATGAATGTCACAACTGAATTTCCAAAAGCAAAGGATGCCCTTCTATCTTCCAACAAAACTTCAGTGACTTAGATAGTTATAAAATGTCTTCTGAATAGCTTGCTAATGTATTTAAATAAATAAATAATCAAACATAATAAGAAATCTATTACAGAAATTAGAGAACCAGAAAGGGAGTACATCAATGCCAGGCATTTAAACTATGATTTACTGAGACAAGCATTGTCTTTAGAAAATTCTACTCAAAAGAACAGAGAAAGCTTCAACCCCAGGTTGAAAAAACTAACTTGGAAATCTGGACGACTCACTGGTCTATGCCCTAAAGAGTACTGGAAAGCCAAGAAATAAAAATATATACATTCCATTATAACACATGAGTTTCTGCAGATCCCAAAACCTTAGTATTACATATCCCCTTAAAGGTCTATTAACTCAGCATTCAAGCGCCTGTTGCATGACTGCCTATTTCAAAGACACATGGAAGGAAGTGTCACAAAACAAAAACCAAAAGCATGCCTGTACCTTGAAATGTCACATCAGAAAACCACTCAAAACAGCGTTTGCTTGTTCGCTACACTTTGGGACTAGAAAACCAGATCACCTGAGCTACCTAACTGGTCTCAGCATTCCGAAATTACTACTTAGTAAACTTCAGCCCTACTACAGAGCTGACCTGTAGGCAAAGAAAGATTTAGTATTTCATCCAAAGGAGGTCAGTAAAGTCATCCACACACTATAAAACCTCCGGTGTAAGTCAAATTTCCAAGAGAAACACCCAGCAGTTGACAAGAATATTGTCACCCAATACTCCCACCAAATTCTGACGACTGAAATTTTATTATTATTTTTGGTTTTAAATAATAATGTTAGAAACTGAGGTTTAGACTAGATGAAATTTTAGACAATTAAAAAAAATTGCTAGATGCTTCCTTTTGTAATTTCTTCTCCTTCCCATTCGTTAATCCTCAAGAAAATTAACCAACACAACACTAAGGACTTGGTTCACTCACCGGAGCATAAAATTAAAAATAAAAGCTTTGCAAACCTTTGAATAGAAAGACGAGTCTTCCTCAAGAACTCCTTCTAAAATGGGAGCAAGCTTATTAAGTTTATACTTCACTAGAGAAGTAGCTCACCAAAGCCCAGGCTTGGTCAGCTGTTCTCCAACCATACACTCTTTTTTTTCTGAGGATCAAGACTGTGCAGCAATGGCACGAACACCCTGCTAACAGCGTAGGCGTTTCTCCCTGCCCTACCTCACCACCATTACGAACGGGTCTGTTTGAACGACAATCTGCTGGAGCACCTACGTTAACCAAGAACAACAATCGAGAAGGAAAACCAAGGCTGACCACCAGCATTCTTCGGATCTGAATTCGGAGGAGGCGACGGGAACGCAGGGCTGGATCAGCCGAAACCGCGTGGGGAGGCCCAGAGGACGCTCCCGCAAGGCTGCACTGCCCCTGGCCTTGCCCGCCCCGCCACCTCCGTACCCCCCTCCCGCCCTCCCT